GGGGGGATAAAACTCCAGAAATAATAAAAATACAGAGAGAATATTTTGAAATAAATGAGGAGGCGCAGCGCGCTCCTCGGACTTTACGCACCGCCTGTGTGCCTCCTCGTGCCTCCTCGGTTCCTCCTCGTGCCTCCAAGCCGCAGAACGCGTCCCCGTGTCTCCCGTGCGCTCGAACCTTACACCCCCCCCTTCCTCTTCGGACACCGCGCGGGTCGGTGGAGGCAGCCTCCCCCCTCAGACAGCCTCTCACCGTCCTACAGACACCGCGGGACGGAACTGAGTCCCATCATCAACTTGCTGCCAACTTTTCCACTGATGCTGCGCGCGTCTCGTGTCACCCCCCCTCCTCTTCCTGTCCTGTCCCGTCCTGACGCGCCCAGGTGTCCTCTATTCAACTTTTCATCTTTCTAGTCCTCTTCCCCCCCGTCCTTCTCATCATCATCACCACCACCATCCTCCTCCTCCTCCTCATCCCGCCGGGACGCTCGGTCTGTGTGACAGCAGAGGGGAGGTGTCGGGGGCGCGCGCGGGACGGTTGGTGGGATGTCTCACGCGCGCGTTGTCTCATAAAGATCCCCGAATCCTGCTCCGACTGGGGAAAGTCCACTGAAGAAGAACATCCCCCCCCCCCCCCCCCCCCCCAACACACAACCTGATCATTGGAACTCCTCTCTTGCGGTAAATTTTAAAAGTGACAGGAGTCCGGGGTTGGAGAGGGTGAGCGGGGTCATGGAAAGGTCGCGGGGGGGGGGGGGGGGGGGCGCTACTAAAAGGGATGGACTGCACACGCACGCACGCACGCACGCACGCATGGGTGCAGCACACTTCAATGCAGGATATTTCCTCACTTGGTCTTTTACATTTTCATATTTTTCAACTCAAACATCCAGAAGTTTTAATTCCGTCCGTGAAACGTTTTTGTTTGGAGAACATTAAATCAATGAACCATAAAACTATAGAACAAGCAAATTAGCCACAACTGACTCCTTCAGGAAACTCCTTAAGTTTAAGACAATGGCTTCATCACCTCAAAAAGCTGCCCCCCCCACCCCCCATCCTTTAATTTACATAAAAAAATACCAATAAATATTTTAACTGTGGCTTATTGTTCTTAGGCTTTGCCCCAAGAAACATGCTTTTCTCAATCGTGTGAGAATCCAACCCATTTTTTTTATTATTTCTTTAATTTGTAATTTACTGAATGTCTCATACTTGGAAGAAAAATAATAATCTCAACAGTTTTAACGTCAGCGGCGTAAATGTAGATGCTAAAAACTTGTAGAACAAAAACTCACAAGACGTTGGCCCTTTTCTTTTTATCATTAAAAATAAAGAATTTTCTCCAAAATTGTGTCTCATTGAAAAATGCCAGATCTGCATTTTTCTTCAATAAAATCTTTTTTTTGTTGTTTTGTTTTATATATAAATAAAACGAAATTGGTAAAAACAGCCAACTGTTTAAACCCTGTCATGACTTTTAGGTTTTCCTGCACCTGCTCAAACACAGTTATCACACACTGAGTGATCTGGAGCTCTAAACTGAAACATGGTGAGCAGAGTTTATTAAGCAGCTATTACAGCCTGGGGGGGGGGGGGGGGGGACTTTTGAATGATAATGATGATGGATAACTCCTCATTCTGTGACATTGACCTTCCATAATGCCCATTGTTTTCATGGAATCGTGGAGCAAATGTACAGGAAGGACAGTAAAAATCATATGGACCCCAGCACCGATTCCCATCAAGCTGCACTCCTTGAAAACCAGAGAAACCCCCTCCTGCCCACCCTGCTCCGCCCTGGTCATTGATTTCCTGCCTTGGCTCGACTTGTCCATTGTTGGAAGCCTTTTTAATTTAGCTATAAATTGGGAAAGCTCAAGTCGAATGAGCTATTCTATTTTCTTCCTGTCAGGATGAGGGATTTGTTTTATGATGCATTGTGTATTAAATACAAGTAATCTGGGAAAGTGATTGCTCCGCGGGCCTCTCCGGGTCTGATCGAGGATCTGGGGTAGTTTGAGTATTTTTTTCTTCCTTAAAACAAGGAAATTTCTGGGGAAAAAAGAGGAAAAGTGCACAGGAGCTTCGCATCCCGGAGGTTGGACCCCCTTTGGATGAGACCTGGGCCTCGCCGGTGGAGAGAAGCTGCACTCCTCTAGTCGGCCAGGAGAGGGCGTGCTCAACTGAATGAAACTTTTTTTTTTATCATTTCAGGGGAGAATGAGATGCCTTAAAATATTTATGAATTCAATTTGTTGCTGATGTGAAACATTTTTATCATCAAAAAATGCAATCATAAAAAACAGAAAGAAAAAAGACTGCACGAATGGAGGAAACAGACTGCACGTTTATGACCTAAACATCTATTTATGATCAGCAGTTGCTCTCAGACTTGTAACTGAGAGTTGTAACTTATATAGGAGCAGATATAATTTTTACACAAGGTTAAGTAGACTCACTCCAAAGCCAAAATAGCACAAACGACAACCAAAAAAGATTAAAATCGTATTGTTTGCGCTCCTTTTTTCCCCACATCTCAGCTTCAAGAGTGAAAAGCCTCTGATTTATGAGAAGAAATTGCCCATTTCTTTTCTTGTTTGTGTTAAATGCATCACAAAACATCTACAATAAGGCGTCAAATTGCCAGATGGGACATGAAAGATGTTCTATGTGCTTGAATATATAACCATCACCCAAACTGGGCGGCTCTTGAAGACTGATGGGGGTGAATATAAAACACTTGTTCGTTTAATAATCCAGGAGAGTTATTTGCAATGCACCGGCTCTAATTCATGTTTTGTTTGAGTATTTTCCATAACCAGTGTTCTGATAGATGAAATTGGTGTGTTTTATCTGAATTATGCCCACTGCCTTTTGTCACAACTATTGTGCGTGGTGTGGCAAAGCTCTTTATCAACAAACTTCAAAGCCAGCAGGCTGCAGGGTGCGTTCAGCTCCGACTGTATCGAGCCACACAGAGTTTCATACTTGTTCAGGAGACTCTTGCAGCACGAGGCTTTAAAGTGCTGTGAAATGCTTCAGATGAGGTTACTTAAATAGACCCCCGTTTCGCTTGTGGTTTATGTTTTTATTTTAGACGCTCCGTCATGCAAAAAAACAATTCATACATGAGCATTTTCATGATCAAATAAATTTGGTTTTGACTTGATCTGGGGTTTATCTTCATTAAACGGCACTTTTAATTATTTTAAGTGTCACACAGTCAGTAACTGGGAATGACTCCTAACCCATTAGCTGTAAAATGACTGAGTTATAGCATCTTTTGTGTTTTCAAAGCTCAATAGCCTGTGGTTGCCATTTTGAATTTGTTTGACTCCATGTGGGAATCAGTTGTACATGTACATCTAGTGATTACGTTCTGAAAGTTTCGTTAAAATCTGTTCAGTGTTTCCTTGAAACATTTTGCTAACAGACAGAAATACAGTAGTCCCTCGCTACGTCGCGGTTTGTCTTTTGCGGACTTGCTCTTTTGCAGTTTATCAACGATTCTCAACTTTAATATTACTCACATGAGTGGGACGGTACAGATAAAAAGTTAATGGAAAAAAACTTTGGATAGGTGCAGCTATTTTGTAGTTTTCTTTCAATGAGCCTACATTGTATCAGCAGTTCAAAAGAACTGCATTACCCAGAAGCCAACAGTGCTTCCAGCTGCTGCTTTCTACTGAAAATGGAAGGAAAGTTTTGATTTGATCCAAACCTATCTAAACAAGTTTGGTCTTAGTCATAATGACTTCAGCGCAGTGGATGCAGTGAACCGATCAGAACTGGACCAGAACTGGACCAGAACTGGACCAGAACTACTTCCAGTCTCATCGGTCAGTCTGAGTGCTGCTTGCCGGCCCATGAAGCCTCTCAAGTGGAGATGTGTTGCTGGGAGGTCTGGTGTCTTCTCCGGAGCTCACCCGGACCCCTCTAGATTATTTGGACACTATCGGGACCATTGTGGGGTTTTATGCTGGTTCTCTGAAGTTCCGGCTCTCTTCTAAAGAGTCTGGTGCTAAACGGATGCAGAGAGCCAATCAGAAACGAACCAGAACCGGACCAAGGCTGATGAGCCCCCATGTAAAACTTTGCAGTAGCTACAGTACAGTACATATAACTACATATGTTGTTAAAATGACAAAGGTTTAAGAGTTTAGAACATTGCGAGAGTGTGGGAAGGATTTATAAAGCCTTAATATATATAAATACTAAAATAAATACATTGTTGCGAGTTTTCACTTACTGCAGGGGTGTCTGGAACATAACCCCCGCGATAAATGAGGGTCTTCACTTAAAGAAACAGGTCCAGATGACATGATTTAACCATTTTTGTTGACAGTTCACTCTAATATTTACTGTCATACTTTTAAGCAAAGATCTTGTGTAATGAGTTAACAATCAAACTACAAGTTGGGAATGACTCTCAGTTACTACCACAGCTCACATTGGGCTCACATTCTGTAAAATTGACTCATTTGTAGTAACTTTTGTATTTGATGTGATTGATTCACAGTTGCAGTCTTTTAGAGTTGTGTTCGCTCCATAAATTGATAAAATCTACATCAGGGCTGTTCATCTAAACTGATTGGGGGCCACAGTTTCTGAAGGTCAGCAGCTCAGGGGCCGGACATCCAGCGATTAAAGTCATTATGTAAATAAACCAAGTTTTACAATGATCTGTTAACTTTTAGATGTGCTTGTTTTATCGCATTGAATCATAAATGCAATAAACAGAACCAAAAAGCCAAACCATCCATCCATTATCTTTACCAACTTCTTCCTTTTTTGGGAAGGGGGGTCGCGGGGGTCAATGGTGCCCACTGTGCAAGAGGCAGGTTACACCCTGGACAGGTCTCCAGTCCATCACAGGGACACATGGAGACAAACCAGACAAACAACCATTCACTCTCTCTCTCACACTTAAGAGACAATTTAGAGTTACCAATCAGCCTAACATGCATGTTTTTGGTCTGTAGGAGGAAACCAGAGTACTTAGAGAAAACCCATGCATGCACGGAGAGAACATGCAAACTCCACCCAGAAAGGCCCCCAGACCAGGATTTCAACCAGGGTAACATGCTCACTGAGCTCTACCAACTGCCCTGAGACCCAGAAACCAAAAAAAAAAAAAAAAAAAGTACATAAATGTTTAAATAAATAAATAATTTTTTTTGAGTCATTAGTCGGCCGGATTGAAATCACCTGTGGGCCGGAAATGGCCCACGGGCCACCAGTTGAATAGCCCTGATCAATCTCATCATCAGTT